AAGCTCACTGTTCTCTTTTTTGCTGGGTTCGCTTCATTTCCATTCTTTCACAATCTCTATTTCTAAATAGAGGAAAAAAACATGCCTGGTGACTGATGAGCGCTCTGTCATCCAAGAAGAACCTAGAAAATTTCAACAGAAGGCTGGAAATAGTCAGCCATCTCAATGCAGACTTAAGCCCTTTTTATTTATTTTCTTCTCATATACCTTCAGTATATCTTGAAACTCTGACATAACTGAACCTCTGCTTTTGTTCTGGAGTTTCCTCCTTACCGTACATCTCCAGTTCTAGATTTTATTTTCTTTTAAAATTGCTGCTCTGTCACTTATCAGTAACTTACCAATATGAAGCACGTACCAGCCCTTCTCTTCCTAATTGCTGTAGTCTGGAGATGCCTTAGCCTCTTAGTATTTCTTCAGATACAAACACTGAATTCTGAACATTCATTTTTGGGTGAATACTAATAGTACTCTGCCAAAAAGGAAAAAAAAAAACTGATTGCTGCATGATTGCTATGGTGACAGCAAAATGGCTCACAACAGTTTTAGGGCTGGCTTTGTGTCTTGACTCTCGAATGTCTCAGGAATTTTATTCTTGAATAAAAGCAGGTGTATTTTGGGTCAGTGCAATAGGACTTCAGACAAAAATGAATGGAAACTTTTTGGTGGCTGATACTGTAATGGCAATGGCTTGATCTTGTAGTGAATTGTCTGCACGTATAGAAGAGAAATGGGCATTTCCTACTACAGGTATTAATAGGAGTGTTTTATAAAGTCCCAGTTCATAGGCCAGGAGCTTTTGATACAAGGCAGCTTGTCACTGGATGGTTGTCACATCTTAGGACACTGACTAAATGACTTCTTCCATAAGAGAGCAGAAAGCAAAAGTTTAAGATCTACTTGTAAAAGATGGTATTGTTTACTCTGTAAATGTCCCTACAGGAGGAAAAAAAAAAAACCCACAAAAAACCAACTTTGGCTCTTTCTTTTTGTTTCATAGTATGTTATCTTTTGCTGATCAGGAACTTAAGAGGAGTTCCCCTAGAAAAGGGAGGAGAAGCTTGACAGTTCTATTTTCAGTAACTACATTTTGTTTACTTTTGCAACAAAAATTTAACTTCTTGTCTGAAAGCCACTCATCTCCAAAACAAAACTGTTAAGTTCAGGTTTTATAAAGAGGTCTGGAGCTGAACTCAAAAACTGGAAGAATGTAAACCCTTCATTAAAATGGCTGTTTTCAAGGAAAGACTATCTCAAAACATGAAATCCAAACTGGTATGTTATAATACCTCTTGTATGGACTATAATTAAAAGAACTTAAATAGATCTTTTAATGTGAGTGTATTAGAAGTATTGTTATTCGGAATGGCCTAAAATTTGCTGATAAATGTGCTCATATATGAAGCACAACCACTGCATCTTGGAAAATTATCATATTATATTAAGAAAATTCTAATAGATTTTTTTGGTGGAAAAAAAAAAGCAAAAATTCCTTTCTCTTTTATGAAGAAATTTCAGATGTCTCCACTTCACTCTGCAAACAGTTCATTTTCTTCCCCTTTCAGCTCTGCTTGATGTTATCTTTAGCTCTCAATTTGTACTCATGGCAATGAACAACTCAGCGTTCCTCTAAATATAATCTGCATCTTGAGAGATTACACTTTGTGTAAAACTGTTAATTTAAGTAGGACAGTCTTCTGAAATATTAGTGAGTTTTACAGACTTACCTGATTGATAAAAGCCTTGAAGCCAAGCTGGATCCAAGCACTATGCATGTAGAATAGTGTATGTGTATAAAATTGAATTCAGACTCAGTCTTTGATTAGGATTTTCAAAAGATTAACTGAGTTAAGAGCACTATTGTCACTGTGGCTGTTGCTTTTAACATACTGATGCTTTAAAAAGTTCTTCTGTCATTGCTACTGGCCATATGAAATACCCGTGTTTGAATAACAGCAAAAAATCCAAATCTAATCAATAGCCAAATATTTAGCATATATTAATTTCCTTTCTGGCCAAAGTAGAGAGATGACAGGTTAATTGCTGTATTTTATATAGCTACTACAGAAGCTGACTTCTAGCATATAGCTGTAAACTATAAATAATTTGCACATGATGAACTAACTGAAATTTTGGTTTCTGCTGAAAATGAAAGGGATACATATATATTTTACAAGCTGATAACTACACACTGCTGTCCTTCAGGTAAATTCAGTTCTAGACAGATGTTTTAGGAAACTGAAGAGCTTTGTTTTATTCACAGCTCTCCTCTAATTTCCATTAACTTGTCTTTTGTCTTTCTGGAGAGCTGATTTTCTTCGGATGAGACTGTATCTCAGCTCTACCATTTTTCACATGCTTATAATTAGAATAATACTGCTTATTATTTCTTACTTGGAAAGTGACATGCAGGCATATACTACGCTAGTAACTAAATTTCACATATCTCACACAGGATGCTCTGGAGATGGTGAAGACCTCCATAAGTTATTGACCTGAGCTTGATGTGACCAGGTCACCATTCTGTGTAAGATTCGGTATCTCGTTAGTAGACGTGTTCATCAACCTCAAAATTGTGGTGAATGTACAAAACTGCTAAAAATCTCCTCATTAGGGAAACTGTTGTGTGGTGAACAAGTACAGAAGTGTGGTTATAATTTAAAGTTAGAATTTAAAGGAGCAGGCTAAGTAAAAATATATAAGGCAACATAAGGTTGTCTGAAAGGAGTTAGATTTCTGTGTAGCTCTTCAGTAGCACTTCTGTTACCTTTGACAGGGTATCTTCATTCCAAGGGAGGTGGGACAGAAGGAAAGGAGGAGACTGAGAAAATGAATGGGAAGGGAGGGAAGAAGGGGAAAAGAAGGGAAGAGGGAAGAAGAAGGGGATGTGGGGAAAGGGCAAGAATTGCATAGAAACAGAATTGCTAAAAAATAGATTTCCTCTAAAATACTGTCCCTCTATATATATATAAGAGGAATAAAGGGGAAAAAAAAAAAAAAAAGAAAAGAAACCCAAGCAGGCAGAGAAGAAAAGGTCAAGTTTAATGATGGAAGAATAATACAGATAATAGCAGTGGAAAATAGAAGGGAGATCTCCAGAGGATTAAAATATTGCTACTGTATTTCTTGGAAAATGCAGTGTAATTCTTAGTTAAGTTTTCCAAACTGTTTTTCTTAAGATTTTCCATCACTGTTCTGAATTCTAAGAGGGAGGTGGATCACTTGGTCATTTTCTTTTAATGCAGTTAGTATTCCAATCCAGAAGTGGGAGTGGAATTTTGAAGGTCCAAAATTAAAAGGAGTAATTTCTATTGACTTGATTCCAGTCTGCCTTCTGTATTTACAATGAAATTATTCTATTCAAACTTTATTGTAGTTTCAGTTACCATAATGAGACTGAACGTAGGTGATTTTGTTCATACTGGGGAACATCTTCATCTAAATAGATAATTCTAATACAAGTGTATGCACCATTACAATATAAAAATCATCATTTGTGTCTGTAGCTGGCTGGATGGTAGCTTAAGTAAATATACCAACAGATTCTGCCACCTTTATTCACATATCAAATTTTAATCTTTTGTGTTGCACTTGGGATGAATTTTGATAACCTGAGCTATGCGAAACAACATTTTTTTTCAGACAGCTATATAGATGTAAACAAGTCTCCTTACAGAACAGCATGCTAAACTGTTCAAATATAGCCCCTGGCTATACACAGCAAGACTGTGTATTTTTTTGCAGTATCATGCAGTAGGTTTCAAGACCACGGACTCTTAAGAATTTTCTACTGTAGCAGTATTTCAATCCTTATACGCAATACGAGTAGAAGGTGAAAGTGTAAGACCAAAGTAAAAAGATTCAGAGTGGGAAAAAGCACTGTAAAGCCCAAAGAAAATGTGTGTGAGACTGATAGGAAGACAAGGTAATATTTATGATTTAATGTTAAATGCTGATTTTTGAGGCATACACTACTCTGGTTGCAAGACTCTCAATTATACATATCCCTTCATTTCTCAGTCGCTACGATTTCACAAGAAACTATTGCATTACATTGCAGCTGCAAAACCCAAAAACCCATCTCACCTCTCTAAATCAATATTTTTGATTTCGTAGTTTTTATGTTACTTATTGGATTCCAGGCAAACTTTTGTCCAAATGTCTGCACTTAGGGTGTCAAATTTCCCCAAAATGGGAAATCTTTAACAACTTTTCCCAGCTGTCATTCCATCTACTTTAAATTCATCTTCTGCAGAATGCTCTTGCATCTCTTATAGCATGTTCTCTGTGAAATCACAGAGGCAATTCATGATTTTGGATCACAGCTGATCCACATAACTTGCAAACTAAGCCCCTGACTGATTGATCAGATTCCTATGGAAGGACCTTTGAGCCAAGACAGATTCTGACTGAAGTTGGCGGGGCTCCGTGCATACCCAAAGGTATATCCTGCTGTATTCTGCTAGTGATCAGTCAGAGTCTAATACTTCACCTATTTTAGACTATGTATGTTAGTAATACATGTTGTTAATAATAGCATTTAATAAGGCACTTAAAAAAAAAAAAAAAGCCCTCAAATCCCTAGGTCATTTGGACATAATTGGGGTGTGGAATAGAAATAAAGCTCGTCTCTATTAGTTTGATAAACCAGGAGTACTGCTTACTGTTGTTTCTGTTGTAATCAACTTAAAGCAAAAACCTAGTGTCCTGCTTACTTAACACAATGGTGTCTATTTATTGCAGGATTTTATGTGTATAAAGCATCTGATAATGTGCATAAATATGCTAAAATTTGTATCTATTTTGATTCCTTAAAAAAGTTCAAGTATTTTGGACCCAGATTTGAGGTGATACATCTGAAGATATTATGTAAGCTAAGGAATACTCTTGACACTCTTTGTGTGCCCAGCTACTACTGCAAACAATAATGCATTGCAAGCAAGGTGGACACTAAGTTTTAGCTATAATGTTTACTCTTCAATAACAGATGGCTTCCACACCTGTGCGATGACGCCAGCTTTCTTTGCTGAAAATTTTGGCCTCGGAGCAGTAAACAAAGAGGATGTAGTGGATTCTGGCTTAGAAAACGCAGAATAGCCTGTCGGTGTATATGGTTCATTTACTGGGGTGGAGGCATTTGATTGGAACGATGGTTGCGAACTGTAGGCTGGCACAGAATACACTGAAGATGCCCGGACGTTTGTAGGAGATGCAGAACCAGGCAGTCGTAAGGATGTAGCTTGCTTTGAAGTGGGCAACTTTGGTATCTGCTTCATAGCTAGGCTTTCCTTATTACTAGGAGGTTGAAAAGTAAATAATGATGCGTCAAGTTGATAAGGTTGATGTTTCATAATATCCAAAGCATTGAGACCTTTCTTAGGTTTTCTTTTGGTATTTTTAGTAGCAGCAGTGGACTTAGGGAAAGGCTTAGTAGCAGCAGGAGGATAAGATGGACTGTGTATGGGATTATAAGCAACAGGTGGAGGTGCTCGGACATTAGATGAATATTTCCAAGAAGCTGGTAAAGATGGAGTTGGAGATGAGGCTCGTGCCATGTGTGCTTGCACAGTCTCTGAATCAACCACATACTTCTCCATTCGAGAGTGTCTTCTGGCAAATAATTGTGCTCCTTTTCCCCTCATCTCTGGCGGCATCTCAAAGGGTTTTGTTTCTCCAGCACTTGGTGTGGTTGGTGTCTTGGCTGGATGATTTGGACTCGCTAGGGTTGCCTGAGGTCCTTTGAAAGGACCAGATAGGTTGAGAGTATTTGGAGGATTGGCAGAGGGAGAATGAGGATACTGTGGGGATTTGAGTGGTGCAGGGTATGCTGCCTGTGGTGAGGCTGGAGCTGGGAAAGAGGGAGCCTTGTTAGAAGCCCCAGCTGGTGACCAAACCGGTGAAACTGGGGTACCAGCAGCAGGAGAGACCTTGAGTGAAGGCTTTGGAGCAATAGGAGGAGGGGCCTTTTGCTTAGATGCTTGACTCTGCATGAAATTGCAAGCTTCTGCTCCCAAACTGAGGTAGTCTTCTTCGGGTCCTGACTCAAAACCAGCTCCAGAACCTTTTTTGCCTTCTGCATTGTGTACGAGGGACAACAGGGCAGGATTCGGACTTACTTTGGGTGCTTCTTTGAAAGAGAACATAGGCTTTGATGTGCTCCTTCTCTTTGCCTCTTGCAGTATCCCAGTTCTTTTGGCTGGCACTGCAATCCTCTCATCTCTGGATGCTATGCGTTCAGTTGGCTCTGTGTGTGACCACAGAATTGGCGCAGCTTTGCTTGCTGCGGGAGCTGATAGAGGTCTGTATAAAGCCTCTGGTGGTGGGCTGATAGAGCAGTAGGGAGGTGGTGCTGGTAAATCTGAAAGAGGACTAGTGACATTTCTCGTGGGTGAAAATGGTGCAGCTGCTCGGTTTTGAACCCCAAAAGGGAAGGGTTTAGCTGTTCTGTTCAAAGATGCTGCTTTTTGAGCTTCAGAAGACTGAAAAGAGAGGCTTGTGTCTGGTGCTAAGCCAAAGCCATTTTGTTGTACAATTTTACCATCATTCTGGCTCACATCTGCATAGCTTTTGCTTATGCAGGGTTGCTGTCTTAACATTTCTTCCTCTTTTGTTTGATAGGCTGAAGAGCTTACTTTCTGGAAGTTCTCTGACACGGTGACTTCCCTTTGTTCCTCTGCATGCACTGTGCGTGCCTTCATCTCCTCTTGCTCAGCTGTAATCTGATCCATCCTCTGCCGTCTCCTGGCAAACATGAGGGCCCCTTTACCTGTTGTCTCTGGAAGCGTCTGCATCTCGTCTCCACTTTTCGTCTTCTTTTCAACCTCAAGTAGACCACTGTCCCAATCAAATGTCACAATCTTCTTGTCGTTGTCAATGTCAGAGAAGAAATCTTCATCTATTTCTGACTCACTTGTTGCAAGCAAACTCACTTCAAAAGTATTTTCTTTGTCCCCCTCTTCAACTTCACCTTCTTCACCCTCGTCTTCGTCACGTTCCAGCTCCCCAGTCCCGTAGCTGACTAAAGTATATTTCCTCGCTCTTTGCCGACGCTTCTTGAACATCAACACCCCCTTGGAATTGGGATTGGGAGCTGCCGTCAGCAGCAATGCAATACTTTTACATTTAGATTTGGCTTCTTTGACCTGCTTCTCTGACAGGCTTTCACTTCGCCGGAGTCCTGTGGAAAGAATCAACATGCACATTTAATTGCACGCAGCCCACAAAAATACACGGGGTTTATTAGCAAGTGCTTATGCATCTGTCTGTAGTGGAGTTTGTATACTGCCTCTCCCCCTCATATTAAAACATTTCTTTTCTTGTGCATGGAGGGGTTGTTATGCATAAGCTTTGCCCACAGTGACAACTGTGGTATAAATTCCATATCCAGCATTCCTTTCTTAGGGCCACACCCAGACAAGCTCAAAGGCTACATCACTTTCTTTACTTCAACAGGAACAATAGGCGTGTCTTCTCATTTCCTCAGTTTTCATTCCGAGCAGTCATCTCAGCAGCAATAAGTAGGCAGTATTTTCTCATTTACTCAATTTCTATGATCTGGTATGTAGCAAGTGTTTGACCACAGTTGCTAGGCTTACAGTAGATTCCCACCAGCCAGGACCGTGACTGTGTCTGACAGTGGTAGCAGCTTCTACTATTTAAGAGTTTATAGAAGCATTATAGAATCTATGTAGTTGATAAAAATAAGTATATTTATATGTATTAGCTATTTAAAAGCAAGTATATATCCCTGGAAATATACAAAGAAATAATTAATTTTCAGCTCCCTCAAAGACAGTGGGAGTGCAAACATAATCCCAAATTGTATAGGATATAACATCTTCAGAACATTTAGTTTTAACATGTGGCAGGAATGAATACACATTTAAGAACTGAATGGAGGAGGCTCCTGCCAAAATAATATATATTTCTTAAAGCATAAATTATTGGTTTTCATCAAGTTGTGGGGAACAAAAGTATCTGCAGCTATAAAGCTGATAGATGCACTGTACATCCGCATGACCACCTCACTAACTCATCTCTTTTAAAAAGCTAGATTTTAAAATAAAAAGCTAATTCTGCCTATATCAATGGCTCCCTTCCAGTTATTTTCAAAAAGAAAAGGTGTGCCTCTGATTTGTGAAAATAAACCAGTTAATCATTATCTTCTGCTAGCACAAATAAAGCAAACTTGTTAAAGAAAGCACTGTGATGTGTTTTCTATTAATGATTCTTTTAGCTATGTCAGAGGATGAAGCCTGATACTTCTCCTATTAAAGACACTTGGAGTTTTGCCATTATGCCAGATGACAGCATGACTAGACCGATGGTTCTCACAACCGTAAGAGCAAAAAGAGCGCAGTGCCTTTACCAGCAATTTGTAGTATTTTATTTTGAGAGGTTCAAATCACCAAATCCTTGGCTCAGTCCTTTGACAAGTCAAATGCTTACATTGTTTACTGGAGACAGTTTTGAAATTATGGCCTGTACCTTTAGAGTGACTCTGCAAACAGATATGGTCACCCTTCAGCGTTTAAGTTCCATGCTTTCAAATAATCTGCTTTTGCATAAGCAGTAGGGAGTGTTTTTCTAGGAGGGGAATTCAACAGGAACCCGTGGTATTGTGGAAAGCAAAAATTGAAACTTTTCATTTTGCTAGTGTATCTTTTCCTAACTCATCTGCAGTTACTTAATCAATAGATTTAGAAGCTTCCAGAAGAAATATTAATCAGATAAATATAATCTAATTACTATTTTACAGGTAAAATTCATGTTAAGGCAATAAAGCGCCTGTAATAAATACTCTTTCGTAGTTTAGACACAAATGCTGCATTGTAACTTTTAATTTGACAAAAAAAAAAAAGTCTTATATGCACGGTATTTGCTGCATGCAGACTGTTCCTCTGTGCTTAGCAATGTGACAGTTCTAATGTGTAAATCACATTTTAAAAATAATAATAAAAGCAAATATTTTGCTAGATTACATCAGTTCCTAAAAATAATGGTGTGCCAGTAGGTTAAAAAGAATTAAGACCGTCATAGTTGGGATGGGAAAAAGGCAAATTATACATCTTACTTGAAAGAAGACTGTCATGTAATATGTAATTTGTTCTATATACTTGCCTTATTAGAAGGGCAATACAGTTCACTAAGAGATATGGGCACAGTCCCACAGATGGTTCTAACTTCTCAGCCAAAATGTAAAGTATGTGCACTCTTCTTATACACTCTATTTTAAATGTTAAAATATGTGAATTGGAAGCAGACACTTAGCCATAAGTAACTGCTTAATCCACTTGCAAATAAGATACAAATGGTTATCATGCTAAAAATATGCTTACAGTGGAATTAGCAAAGGGTTAGCAGACTAATTCCAACACTACATATGAAATAGTTTGTTGCTACAGTATATCATTGCACACATTCAAGCAGCTTTGCCATACTGTTACTAAATCCCTGGTCAGGATTCTTAACGTTGTTGGGGAAAAAACAACCCATTAATAAAAAGGTATCAAATTAATAAAATAATAAATTAACTTTACATATCTATACTCAATAAACTGACACTGGATTCAGTTTCAAATTTGCTTTCATGTAAACTTCTTGTATGGATTTTGTAGTTGACCTCTGGGTATGGGAGTCAGAAGAAATAGTAAGTTCACTTTACAGTCTAAAGAAGACTGACAAAGCTGAAAGGATCATGTAACAGTTATACACATGCTAGTGTCTGTCAAAATCTCGTCTGCAGGCAACATCAAGCTTTACTAATAGCCTTTTTTATTATCAACTTTTAAGAGCAATACCACGACTTTGATTTTAGATGATGCAAATGATAGCACAAAATTTTTGCTGTAAACAGAAATCCATAGGATTCGTTTAGACGTGTGCAAGCAACCTGGTTGTTTGTTTGTTTGTGTGTTTTTTCTTTGTTACTATTCCACAGATTGCCTCTTAGTGTGTATGAGAAAGCCAGCAGAATTCAGCCCTTTCTGGAAATAAAAGTATTTTTAGTTGGACAAAGTCATTAAGTGATTTCAGAGTAGAAGTCTACTATACAAAGTTATTCAGCACAGTTAAGGCATGGCTTTACTCTTGGCTCATTACCAGGAGCATTGCATTACCGTGAAAAATTACATAAAGCAAGAATTGTTTAGAAGACAGAGGGAGAAAGTTAGAAAACTGCAGATGAAAGCTCTAACTACTTTTTCTAATGTAATCTAAATTCTGAGATGATGTTTCAAGTTACAAAGTATATCCTCAGGCAATGCAAATGATTAGATGGGACGTACTTACTTGCGTGCCTTGCCCTGTGCTTGAGAGGTCTGTGATCCCTTTCCGAGTGCTGGTTGTCCTCTCCCTGCTCTGTGCCTTCTGATGAGATTGCAAAGGAGGGGAGAGAAGGAGGTGCTTCTGACTGCCCTCCTTCCACTTGAGAATCAACACACCCCCTTTCAGCTAGAGACTTGGGTGCTTCTTTTTCTCTGTCTGAACAGTCTAGGATCACCTCCACCCTGGGGATAGATGGAGCTGCACTTTGGACCATCTTGACCTCTTTGCTACTAGAAAACTGGACTACTTTGCTTGACCACTGGATGTTGCCCTCTTTCATACTCAGGGGAATTGCAATTACAGGGTTGGTCCCGTCTTCTTGTACACTGTGTCCTTTTCCTGAAGGGGTGCATTTTTCTGCCCCTAAGAGAGTCACAGCAGGAGCGTTGGTGCTCTTGTGACCATCATTTGAGAGGGATAACTGCAGCTCAACCATATTGCCTGGCCTTCTTTCTTCTATCTTCCCTCTGAAAGCAGGTTCATCAGTCACAAGTGCTTTGGAGGTGCCTATCACTTTAGGAGTAATTCTGTGACTTTGCGTGGTCTCTTGTTTCATTTCAGAAAAGCGTATGTTGCTTTCTCCTGCTCCCTGGTGAGTCTCACTGTATATCTCTGTGATGCATGAGTCTCCATGGGGTACCTCTTTGGCTGTATTAATCTGCAGTGTAGTGCTCTCCCTGTAGTCCTCATTTTTTATTTTATCATGCTTTCCATTTTCTCTTTCAGCACTCAAAGTTTCATTTATTCCACTGGAGGATCTGCACATACATAAACAAGTAATTCAAGATATTAAGTTGCTGTAAGTACAGTAATTGTAAACACAATTGCAAAGAAAAACAATTTCTGTATAGTATTTTCCCCCCTCTGTTAATTGTACCTCCTAGCAGGACCATTTAAGGAGAAGAATTTTCCCAGAATATAGAAGTCTCAAAACATCTATGAATATTTCAAAATTCTTCAAGTTAACAGTTCAGTAAGAGGGAAATTGATATGTTTTCTCAGACACATTTCTGTTATAATGATTCTACTGAGACTTCTAGGACAATGCTTCTTCATATTTCACATGTGCATGAGAAAATTAACTTTGCATAACGCCAGAACAGTGCCTAATTTTTGGCACTGTGGCTACTACCCCAGCTGTTTTAGGCACCATACTCACACATAGTTGCTGTTTCAAATAGTTTACTCTCTAAGGAATAAACTACTGGATAATAAGAAGGAGAGACAGAGAAAGCGGGGGATGGAGGGGGAGGGAATGGATACTTAAAATACACATTCAGAGAATTCCTGTGAGGATCATAATCCAAATATACAGTGGAACAATTAAAACATTCTGGCCCTATTTTGGTGGTCCAACAAGAAAAGTTAGTGAAGCCATGCAACATTTTCTAGTTAAAGGGAAAAAGTATTCCTGATTGTCAAATGTTACCGTGTCTTCACGAAGCCTGCAACATACTTCAGAGTAACTCTCCTGAACTATTTGTTCCTCTGGACTTGACTGTTTTACTGAGTTTAGGATTCCCAGCTTCCTCTTTCAATACTCTGGGCCATAATGACTACTTACTAATTCAAGGAGAAGTCTTTTTCTGCATAACAAGATTGCTGCATGCTATTAAGGATTTCTGTTGACTAGAAGGTAGCAAAGCACATTTTCAAATGAGAGGAGTGGTTTCAAATGAGAGGTAGGTATCCTCAGTAAAATACTTAGATCAAGTATTACAGTGATTTCTGAAATCAAAAGCAAGCCCCAAGTATTTTGAAACTTTGGAACCACTCTACAAAGAAAAGCTGGAAGAAGAGATAGAAGAAATAAATCTGTCAGTATATAGAAGAAACTTCAGTAACACTTGCATTTCTGGCCATGTGGCATACTGTTTGTAGAAGTCTTGATCTGCCTCAAATAGCACAAAATGTGTAACATCCATTACACCACATATGGAGCTACGTAAAGGTCAGACAGATTTTGATTTAGGGAGCTCCTTGGTGAGTGTTGCTGGATTCAATCATATTAAGTTATTTGGATGATCAATTGCACTGCTTTTAAGTACAGATAAATTACAGAAATCCATAAACATTTCCATGTAGGATATAAGACTGGGGGATGGGTCAGCTAAGTGTTAGCCTTTATTGGTAGCTGAGTGATTGTGTGAGAGGAAAAGATTTCCACCTTAAAAGGCCCTTGCTACTTATGGATATACTTCTACTCTATATAGGCATAAATGTGTGTCCATGTGTCAAGAGGCAGAGTACTTGGTCTGATCTCTTAATTGTCATTTATGATTTTATCTGGACGAATTATTACCTTTGTTTCATGTCTTTCCAGCTCACTGTAGGAACAACACTCCTTTTATAATTCCAGGAAGGAAGCAAAACTCACAGAGTCAGCACAGCAGGATTTGTCTCAGAGTCATGTTTTACTCCCTACATGGTGTATTCCATTTAAGTATGCATTGAGCACACTCCCTGCTTCCCCTTAGAAAATTTTCTTTCTAGACTCAGCTGAAGCTCAGGAGTTGCTGATGTGAAAAGGGCAGGGTAGCATTGCTGGCACCACTCTCAGCGTTTCCCAGATACATCTGCTCAGCATTTGTTGGGGAAGGTCAGCAAGATGCTTCCCAACATGGCATCTGGAGGGCATTTGTCCTGCAAACCAAAGATTTTCTGGGCACTGCTGGTCAGTAACTGTAGCTTACAGATTAGAAAAACTTCTAGACATCAAAGCCCAAGTAGCATCTTAAAACCTGATTTAAAAGCTATTTTTTCTTCCAGTGAGTTCAGTAAGAACAGAGTTAGGTCAATGATGACAACTTTTGAAAATCTGATCTTTTATGCATGTAGTTCAGGAATAGTCAGAAGCTTTCCAAGAAGAAATCGTAGGGTCATAGAATCATAGAATTGCTCAGGTTAGAAAAGACCTTAAAGATCATCGGGTCCAACCACAACCTGACCATACTACCCTAACTCTAACAACCCTCTGCTAAATCATGTCTCTGAGCACCACATCCAGACGGTTTTAAAACACATCCAGGATGGTGACTCAACCACCTCCCTGGGGAGCCTATTCCAGTGCTTAACAACCCTTTCTGTAGAGAAGTGTTTTCTGATACCCAACCTAAACTTACCCTGGTGCAACTTGAGGCCATTTCCCTCATCCTATCACCAGTGAGAAGAGACCAACCCTGCTCACTGTAAGCACCTTTGGAAGAGAACAATAAGGTCTCCCCTCAGCCTCCCTTTTCCCAAACTGAACAGCCCCAGTTTCCTCGTTGCTCCTCATAGGGCATATTCTCCAAGCCCTACTCAAGCCTTGTTGCCGTTCTTTGGACCTGCTCTAGCACCTCAATGTCCTTTCTGTGGTGAGGTGTCCAAAACTCTGAACACAGTACTTGAGGTGAGGCCTCACCAGTGCTGAGTACAGAGGCAGGGTGACTTCCCTAGTCCTGCTCACCACACCATTCCTGATACAAGCCAGGATGCCATTGGTCTTGGCCACCTGGATACACTGCTGGCTCATATTCAGCCAACTGTCCACCAAGGTCCCTTGCCATCATGCAGCTTTCCAGCCACTCCTTCCCAAGCCTGTATGGTTGCCTGGGGTTGTTGTGACCAAAATGCAGGACCCAACACTTGGCCCTGTTGAAACTCATACAGTTTACCTTGGCCCTTTGATCCAGTCTATCCAGGTCCCTCTGTAGTGGCTTTTTCTGGCAGTTCAGCACTCCCTCCCAGCTTGATGTCGTCTGCAAACTTAGTGAGAGTGCATTCGATCCCCTCGTGAAGATCACTAATAAAGAAGCTGAATAGGAGTGGTCCCAGAACCAAGCCCTGGGAGACACCACTCATGACTGGCTGCCAACTGGTTTTAACAAAGAGTTTATTTGGGCCCAGCCATCCAGCCAGTGTTTCACCCAGCAGAGTGTATGCCCATCCAAACCATGGGCAACCAGCTTCTCCACAGGGATGTAGTGGGGTACAGTGTTAAAGGCTTTACTGAAGTCCAGATAGACACATTGACAGACTTACCTTTACCCACTAAGCTGATCACTTTGTCATAGAACAAAATCAGGTTTGTCAAACAGGATCTACCATTCATAAACCCATGCTGACTGAGCCTGTTTCCTTGATTGACCTTCAACTATGATGGCTCCAAACATTATCCATTCCATAACCTTCCCTGGCACCAAGGTGAGACTGATAGGTCTGTAGCTACCGGGATCATCTTTCCGGCCCTATATGAAGATGGGTATCACATTTGCCAGTCTCCAATCTACAGGGACATCCCTGATTAGCCAGAACTGTTAAAGGATAATGGAAAGTGACTTGGCAACCACATCTGCTAACTCCCTCAGCATTCTAGGATGCAGTCCATCTGGTCCTATGGACTTGTAAGTGTCCAGCTTTCAGAGCAGGTCCAGAACCATCTAATCACAAATCATTCAGGGCCTATTCTGTTTCTCATCTCTAATTCCCAGTGCAAGGGGCTGTGCGCTCAGGGAGTAACTGGTCTTACTATTAAAGACTGAGGCAAAGAAGGCATTAAGTACCTCAGCCTTATCCTGATCTTTGGTCACCATGTTGCCTTGATCCAAGAAGAGGTGGCTCTTCTACCAGCAAGAGAAGCTCAGATGCAGAAATCACTGTTGGAAAGCCACTTTAATTAGACATTATTCCTTTCTTATGATTTCTGGCCTTTTTTTTGAGATGGCTGACAAATGGCTCTTTGTGAAAAAAATGATTCGCATTGCTCTGAGTGTGCTAAGGCACTTACTAAAAAATCCTTCTGGTGGTAATACTGAGGTGGATATTACTCACAAAAGAGGTTGCAAAGGAGGAGAAGGGTTTCAGTTTAACGTTCCCCACCAGAAAAGATACTGACACAAAGTGCTGGGAGCTGGGAGATGAACTGGTGAGAAGTAATTCAGATTCTCATAGTGAATTCTATTAGAACATTTCAGAGCACTGTTGAGCAACTGCAATTTTCTTAAAATTTCTAAGAGGCACAGAGTTTCATTCCATGAAACACTGGTCCTTAACACTTTGGCTCGGCTCTGATTTTCAGGAAATGTCTTGCTGTTTACCATACATTCAAGAAGAAACAATTGAGCGAATAGATATGCTGCCACTTTGAGCTGGAGCATAATGGGACCTACAGACCAATTGAAATGTCACTTAAAGAGCAGCAACAGCCAGGAGTCAAAGCATATGGAGGTATTTGTATGGCTGCAGAGAAGGCAGCTGGTTAACCACAAATATCACTTTTAGAACTTTTATTGTTGTCATCTTATTAATTAAAAACAGGAATGTAGTTACCACACGAGGAACACTCAAATGATATGCTACTGAACCAGAAATAAGAGATACATAACGTGTAGAAAATAAGCTATAATGCTCAGCTGTCATTGTTCCCCTGATCTCATCACATTGATACAATGCTTAGCCCTAAACAAGATGCACAGGCATGCCATGCAAAATGTCTGTTATGAGTAAAATGAATATTCTTTCAGAGCATTTTGTTTTGAAGGCAGATAGTGACTTCGAACTGCTAGACACTTTGGAATTTTCCCTTGCTCAAGTTGCAGAAAACATAGAGAAATGTCACTTGCTTTTTCAGACTTCCTTGGTAATAATAGGCAAGTTTTATTGCAGCAGTCTTTTCAGCCTTTCCAGTGACTCTGTTAGCTGTTGTGAGGAATCCTGGCCCTGTCTGTCCTCCTGCTCCTACATTTGTGAGAGCAGATACAAAGGACCACAGTAATTCAGGAGGCAGCCATAATTCCCTACAAGGAAGGGAAAAGTCTCAGGTCTTTTCTTCCTCTTCTTAACCACACTGAAGGCAATTCAGACTTCATCTTGTCTGAATACGCAGTTTGGTGAGTATGTGTTCACTGTCAATGGTTCTGAACACAAGATAGTATGTATTAAGTTGATGATCATTATAGGACTGACCTTGCAGATGCACTGATGTGCAGTCTCCTGGCTTCCTTGTAAATCTACATGAAAGTTCTCTATTCTAAAAAGCTCTTAGCATTTTTGAAGAAAAATGAACTTCACTTTCACTTTTATAAGTGGAGAATCTGACCCAGAAAGATGTAAGGGACTTGCCCTGCCTCATTTAGTGGAGTGATAATGTCTACAAAAATATAACCCATGATTTCCAGGCCCTCTCTCTGTTCTGACTGCTACACATTTTCTACCCAAGAAGACCACTTGCCATGTCACCATCAAGGCATATCTGTCTAACACACTTTCTCCATCTATACAGCCTTTGTTTATTGTGTTTCTCACTTCTCTATCTGTGGGGAATAACAGCACTTCAGTACTTCAAAGGAGTGGAAAGAATAATTGAAATCAAGACTCTGCAATGTGCAAATATGGTAGTGGATAGTTCAGACAAACATAATTGAAGACACAAACAGTAGGATTATCAGAAGCTCACAGTGTATATCTGCAAAATAATTGCATTCAACACTAACATTTTCTATGTGGTACGCTGAACAGAATTGCACCAAAGCATTCTGAGCATTCCTGTACCTCTTGATAAGCATCTGCAGGACGTCAGTCAAGCTTTCCATCAGAACGATAACTTCAGCGTAGGTTAAGTCTCCACAGGGTTTGCCATTGATAGACACCACCTCATCCCCCTCACACAGGCCAGCCTTAGCTGCTTTGCTTTTGTTGCGAACCTATGAGTCAAAAACAAAATTCCATATTGCACATTTAGTGTTCATTTGAAAACAGCAGCAAATATGTCCCCAGCTTAACTGTGTAAAAAAAAAAAAAAGAGAGAGAGAGAGAGACAGAAGTTAGGGACAACAGTCAGTTGATTAGCATCTAGCAGAAAGGCAAAAAATCTCATTAGCTTCTCCCAGAACAGACGACTGCTAAGCCAAGATTTCAAAAGAAGAGTATATAACTTCAGGCTACTCTGGGCAGAATGTCAATATCTGCTTGCTGTTAAAGCTGCAGGTGTACAAATTCCTGGTGTATTGGACACTTTTCCTTAGATGCTCAACTAAAGGTTTAGTTGCCAAATTATAAAAATCTGAATGGCTGAAGATCCTAAATCTATGTTTAGTCATCTGAATAAGTTCCCTGATTTATTAAAGATTAAGACTCCTGTTATGGTATGACCTCTCCCATTAAGTACTCATTCAAGAATCTACACTGTTTGTCTTTTCCTGTTTCACTCTTTTTTTCCACTGGCAGCATGCTATAGCTTATCATAGTCTTTGTATAACAAAGCCTAGACAGCTTCAACACCACTCAAAGTATGCCATACAGTTGACTACTAGTTTTAAAGTACATATTTGGCAAACAGTACATTATATTAACCAGAATGCTTGCAGGAGTACTTTATTATGACTTATACACTTATAAGGGCATTTGATGGTTTAAGATGTTATCCAATCTGTTATGAGAAATAAAGTCATCTGAGCATTTTCTTGGAATTTTTTTTTAGAAGTAGCATAGATCTACCACGCTTAGAGCAGCAAAGTCAATCTCCATTGACTCTAGAAGAGCACGTTCTCATATATACTGGACTTGAGGGCGACGTATTCCCATGGACCTATAGAATTATCCCTGGTATTCTAGCAGGCCACTAGATAGCACCTAGGAAGCATTTCTGAAGGCTGTTCTGAAGTTTCTTGGAGTCAGAACAATGTGTAGAATAAAGAGTGAGATTGCACATATTTTTTTTCTGTGGTGGGGCCATAGATCTTTGTTATTTCAATTTAAGCATATCTGTATGTCATATTATGGCTTTTTGAGCAGTGAAGAAACAGATGGCTCATGCATACAGAAGCTGGTTACTACCTTGCAGAGGAGTTAACATTTACAAATATGGAGTGGTATGCCGCTATGTTTATCTTCTCCTAGGCAAGAGCATAAACATCCTTTACTTTGGGAAGAAATGACAGTTTAGACAGTGTTTAGTATTTTACTTTATATATGAGCTAGGATTTGGGTTGATTTTTTGTTACTGTTTTTTGAAATAGGAAGGTATACTATTAAAATTGTACAAGGCATTCTAGGCCTGTATGTAAATATTTAATGTGTATGCTAAGAAGAATTTAGAATTACTTTTTTTCAAAAGACACACAAAAACATGTGAATACAGAAATAGTGTAAGATGATACCAACAATGTGAAAAGAAAACTTGTTTCTGTTTCTTTATTAAGCGTCTGAGAATTCGGGATTGGTTCTGTCATAGATTACCTTTGCAACTGTCTCTGGAGAGAAATTGTTACCCATTATTCCATACTTTCAGTGATGTATGTCGAAAAGAAAACGTTCAAATGTACAATGTTAATATATCTCTATAAATTATTGGACAGCACAGGCAGTTTCATTATTTTCTAATAGTCTCCTAGGTAGCATTCAAAGAAAATAGAAAAGGACACTGAAGTTTTTTTTACTGTTCTTGAAAGGGCCCCTTAGTCCATTTTGCTCCCTCATGAATTCTTGAAAGATCACAAGCTGTGAGATACTTGGACCTATATAGGAAAACTCAGCACTGGCTATGCTGGAAAAAAATTGCTGTAAGTCGTTATTCTTCATTATCTGGTAGCATTGCAGTTCACATGCATATTAGAGCAAATTTCTTCTCATTATTTTATTTCCAGGTTTATCTGCATACATCAAACCTTTAACATGATTTTACTGTGACAGGATCACAGGATCACTGCACATGCTGTACCTAATAATGGTTCTCCTGACTGTCAGCCTTTTCCCCAACCTCAAGATAACATCAGTGTTATCTTCTTTTTGGTGTTTCTGCTAGAGAAATAAAAGGGGAGGGTTGAACTACAGCACCTTATATAGTGAATTGTAGCAGATTGATGGTAGAGTGGAAAAGTACCATCATTTTAGTCTCAGAATAGGACCAGGGTACTCAGCTGTACATAGACTGCCTTACCAGACAATCTCAATTGTTTTGGGGGATTTTTTGTGAGATTCTTCCAAAAGTAGTGGTCTTTCCTGCATTATACTGCAGCCCAGGCCTTCCCAGTTACTTGTTGCTTTTTTCTGCTTTGGGCTGGACTTTTCTTTGGGATGGAAAGGTGAGGCTTTTTTATCCTAAAATTTGTGAATGGGATCTACTGGAAAAGTATGTAAAATTGTCTTGATTTTTCAGTGCTTGCAATGTTGATATAACACAGCAAAGCTGAGCCTGTAACACTTCTGCTGAACCTGTCTAGAAAACAGTTGCTCCTGAGGAATGTTGAAGCACTTCAGACTGTTTTTTCCTGGTGCTGCCTGTATTAGTGTTCTGCTCCTGCCTTGGCCAGGACTTTTTATTATTGCTGTTTATACTGTATATTATATATAGTATAGTACTATAGAGGGCTGCTCTGAAAGTTACGCATCCTGTTTTATTATGTTGGCCCATGATGTCAGAGGGAGAAGGTGGTGGTATGAGAGTGGAGGTTGAACCTTCCCACCAATATTCTGTTGTATGTTGTTGCAGTGTGACAGATGACAACAAAGGAGCAATCTGAGAAAATGGCATCCAGTATGGAAGTGTGTACGGAGCAAAGGTCTATCACTGAATTTCTCCATGGGGAAAAACTTGCATCCACTGACATTCATTGATACTTGCAGAGTGTTGATGGAGACCAAACAGTGTCTGTGAGCACAATGAGGTGGTGCGTTTCAGCAGTGGTGACATCAGCTGTGGATCACCTCCCCTAGTGTAGATTGTTACAAGTGCATCATGCAGGCTCTTGTTCATCACTGGTGAAAATGCATAGCTAATGTTGGGCCTCTGTTGAGAAATAGTGTTCTGTAGCTGATGATTTGCTCTATCAAATAAAGTTATTGTGCTCTTTGTATCTATAGTAGTTTCCATGGAAATAAATAAGAACCATTACTTTTGGAGCAACCTATATGAACTATAGTATTACATATAATACAATATTAGCATATGATTTGTATATTAATATACTAATATTGTTCAATATATTACTTATTATTTATTACTCAAGTTGTATACAGTGCAGTGATTAAATTGCTTTATTTTTCTTTTAAATCACAGTTTTTCCAGTGAAGCAGCAATGGGGTCTGGTGGAGGGTTTCTCCTTCCCCTCACCTGGCACCTCATCACCCCGTGGGGGTGGGGCTTGGGCTGTTACGGGCATGATCAGGATCGTCTGTCAAGACTGGAGCTGGAAATTGTGAGTAAGATTTTGGGAAGACCTTGATTGTCAGAAAGATGACTTAATATGAAATAATTAGTCTGAAAGGCTGATAGCAGGAAACACGTTTATCTCTTTTTCCTTCCCTCGTTGGGAAAAAAAAAATAAGTGGCACAGCAGCACCAGGAAGAAAAAAGACACAGCATAGGTCCCCCTGAGATGGCGTTGTGGGTCTTTGTGTAGTAACGTACTGGTGAGAGGTAACATCTCAGAGGCACGGATCTGTGGAAGAAAGCATGCTGTGTTAGCTAACTGTAGGTTTGTGGTAGCTATGGCATACTAATAGGTCTGGGGCAGTCCTTACTTCTTGTAGCAGACAGTAGTTACAGTCACTGTCTTATCCACTGAAAAGTGAATAAGCAGAGGGAGTACATTGTGGCTGTTTTTGCTGTAGTTTGTGGTAAAGGAGAGGTTTTGTAGAGAAAGCTAATGCTGAGTGCCTTGTAGCATTTTTACTGTAGAGAAACTCTAGTCTCGTTATATGACCTGCAGACCTCTTGCCTACTGTTGTGTATTAGATGTGCTCCTTTTATTTTATCTGAAACCAGTTCAGTTTATACAACTCAAAAGCGTTCCATGTTGCAAATCAACATGTGGTAAATAAGGATAGCAGGGAAACACGCTGCAAAAACTGTAGCCCTGATGAAGCTAAATAGCTAAATTAGATGCACCTGTTATTTATTGTGGGCTGCAGGTGGATGCATAGAAAGCAATTTGGGCTCAAATTACCAGCTGACAGTCTTGGTTGTGTATCTGAGTCTGTAGTGTGCAGATTAGAGTTGAGGTATGCTGAACCTGATAATAAGGTCATTGGATTGTAGTGTATAATAAGGTAATTACATGTGAGGGCACTCAGTAATTCCTTCAATTGCCCAAATACAAAATGTAGTAGAAGATTTCATAATCTTGTTTTTACCAGTGATTTCTTGGAAGGATATCTAAATCTTATTCTGGTCTGCTGTTGGGATTACAGTCCTGTATTTTAGAGAGTCTAAATGAGGTGCTTCAGCTGTAGCCTGACTGAACCTTTTTTTCTGAATGAGAAAATAAGCAGTATTTGCAGTATATGGGCATGAACATAATTCTTTTACTCTCTACCTTTATTTTTAATAAGTATGCTTTTTGTGGCTTTAAAACACGCATATGTTTCCATAGAGATATCCCCAATTTAAAGCAAGCTTTTTGAAACTTAAATTGTTTTCACATCATTCTACTGATCATTTTCCAGTTTGTCAGCAGGAAACAGATAACAAAACAGAAAATATTGCCCTTGGATGTAGTGGGAGTGCACTTCTCCTCTATCGATTATCTTTTTCTCATACACATAGCATTGTTTTTTTATTTGAGGAGTCACCTTGGGAAAAGTTTACTCAGCTGAATATCCTGAAGCCTCTTCTGAACTCTTGTATGGCTTGTTGTATGTTGAAGCCAGTGATAGTAAACTTTATTTATACATGTAAGCCCTCAGTGAAGCCACAGTTCAAAGT